CACTAACGCTGTGTATCTGCAACCCTCCACCTTTGCTCCAGGGAAGGCCGCTCAAACGCCCACATCAGAGGAGATTACCAAAGAATCGGGGACATCATGCTGAAGAACATTCAGGGCATGAAGGTGAGCTTCGGGGCTGGGGTAGAGCAAGCTCACCAAGGAAGGCCAGGCTGGGGCCACAGGCATGTTGGCCACACCCCCGTGTCTCTCCTCTGCACTTAGCTCAAAGTGACTGTTTAGGTAAACTATCCTTCCAGCCCTTCTAGATAATTTTATTTTGAAGCATAAAGGAAAATCCAGTCACTTTGGGGAAAGCGCATTTGGTGGCTTTATTGCAGGGGTCCTCAAACTTTTTAAACAGGGGGCCAGTTCACTGTCCCTCAGACCATTGGGGGGCCAGACTGCGGGCCCCAGCTGATGAGTCAGCTGCTAAGCAGGACAGGCAGTGGCAGCAAAAAAACACAGCGGGCCAGATAAATGTCCTAGATGGGCCGCATGTGGCCCGTGGGTCATAGTTTGAGGACGCCTGTTTTATTGTTTCAAAAGCTCCATACTATACCCAAAACAGGTATTTTCTGGAAATAGATCATTCAGAAACTTAAAAAAAATGTAGATAGAACATTATTTGGTTGATTGAACGTTTCATTTTTAGTCACTTGTTTTGGCTTCTTCTAAGCATGATAAAAATACTAGATTTGGAGCTATGTAGGAAGTCCAGTAAATTCTACCACTTTAAATCAGGTAAATATGTTTTTAACCATCCACCAATATCTCTGATGAGGTAAGAGTGAAAGTGTACCCACAGAAGTCCTTAGATATCAAACCCATACCCTATTACTCTTTTGAAAACTGCCTCATGTCTCATATCTGAAATTTGTCTGTTTTCATTTGAATCTATCAGTTAGTAATTCCTTTAATATAGAATGTTTTCGTTCATGCAGTTTGTGTTTCCATTTTAAAGCAGTCTTCCTGCATCTCAACTGCCAGAGCCTAATAACTTTAAAAACTAATCACTGCCCAGAGCAAACTGACAAGCCCCCAGAGGAGGCAGGCACCCAGACATGTGGTCCCCATCCCAGTCCGTCAGCCACCTGTCTGTCCCTCATGCAGTGTCCTCTCCATATCAGGCACTCATGGAATAAAAGTTGCCATTGGGGTTTGAATTAATTAAGTGGGCTCAGAACTGATTTGTCCCCTTAGAGTGATACATCTCATTAGATAGAGATGAGGGAAGGTGGTGGGTGGGAAGTGGCACAGAACAGACAGGATCGTCGAAGGCCACTCGAGATTCCCTGTCTCTTTCTCTTAATAAAGATCAAGATCTTACTTGCCAGATCATGAGTTACTGTGTGAAAAGCAACATTCTGCAATTTTGTGCGGTATCAGAGAGAGGCCCAGGGAGTGATCAGGATTGCAGAATGCTATAAGGAAAAGCAAGAATCCTCCAAGACATCCCACAACTGTGGCCATTTTAATGGTGTAAACAAAGGTTAATGCACAAAATTTAGATGTACCAGTAATTGACATCTTTTCAACTTTCCATAGTAGCTTTAAAAATATATCTGTATACTCTGTTGCCCAGGCTAGAGTGCTGTGGCCTCAGCTTAGCTGCTGCTACCGCAGACTCCTGGGCTCAACCAATCCTCTTGCCTCAGGCTCCCAAGTAGCTGGGACCACAGCATCCACCACAACGCCCAGCTAGTTTCTCTATTTTTTTAAGTAGTGAAAAGGTCTCACTCTTGCTCAGGCTAGTCTTAAATTCCTGAACTCAAGCAATCCTCCCATGTTGGTGTCCCAGAGTGCTAGGATTACAGGCATGAACCACTGAACCCAGCCAATATGTTTTCCTTTTTAGAGCAATTTTAGGTTTACAGAAATATTGAGCAGATAGTACAGAGAGTTCCCACACTCTTCCTCCCGCCCCCACTCACAGTTTCCCCTCTTATTAGCATTCTTTGCAATGGTGTGATACATTTGCTGCAATTGATGATCCAGCATTGATTGATATGTTATTCTTAACCAGAGGCCAGAGTTGACATTAGAGCTTATTCTTAGTGGTGTTCATTCTATGGGTGTTGACAGATGTGCAGTGACATAGGTCCACATGACAGTGTCACACCCAACACATCTCCATGTTCTACCTGTTCCGCCCCAGCCACCCCCCAGATCCCTGGCAACCACCCACCTTGTCTTGTCTCCGTAGTTCAGCTTTTTCCAGAATGTCACATGGTGAGACTCATACAAGATGTCTCCTTTTTAAACTGGCTTCTTTCAGTTTTGAAGAACGTCCTTTCCTCTCTGTTCTGTGTCCCAGTGTTGCCGTTGTTTCTTCTTAGTGTTTTGCTCCCTTCTCGTGTTCTGCGCCCTCTCGGCCCACTCTGCTTTCTCACCGCCTCTCACCCTGTTCCCTTCTCTGAGATCACAGCCTGCCTGGGGGCCGTCCCCAGTGTGCTGTTCACCAGCTCTTCTTTGTCCCCTTCTCTGGCCTGTGCGCCAGCTCCCTGCCAGCTCCCCACCTCTGCCTTCCCATGGAGAGCTGATGTCCGCCCTCCTCTTCCTCAACCTACTACAGAAGACCTGAAAACAGACCTGGTTTCTGCTCCCAGCAGCATCTCTCCTCATGGATGGGGAGGTGACTTTTCAGCACGCGGCCACTTCCTCTGCGGTGCTGGCATCTCAGCACTGTGCCTGTGCCGTGACGTTTACAGCATGGAGCTCTGTGCAAGTTAAATAAAAATAGATGGTGCAGCTGAGAGCCCCTGGCAGCCTTTTAAAGAAATTACTTGGGTGTTTTTTTATTGTGACTGTTGTTAGTTGTTGAGAATTTTTATGAAGCATAAAGAGGAGTGACAGAAATTTCTAGAAATGTGGAAGCCCAGGTTAGCACTATTGTCCAAAATGCTCAGGTGATCTTTGGCTTACAGTGTCTTCCCTGCCTGTGTGGGAAGGGGCACGGGCCTGCCATCAGCACCCTCCAGTCTCATTGCCTGTGGCCAGACCCTATGCACAGGAGGCGGGTAATGTGACCCAGGGAGCCTGGCCAAGCCTTCTCCTGCACCCGAGAGTCAGAGCGACCCGAATCGTGATCTCCAGCCCCCGCTGTGAACTTTACGTGCATGCACGCCAGCACCTGAGGATCAATGTAAAGAAGAGAAATGCCTAGACTTTCAACTGACCCACCCCTGCCATCCATGTGGGGACCTTCACTCCTTCCTGAACCTTCTGTCTCCCCTGTCTTCTAAAACTCCTAGCACTGTGCTTCTCCCAGCTCAGTCTTCCCGCCCCTGGACAGCCAGGGCAGCTTCCTGGTGCGTACCTTGCTGCCTGATGACCCGGCCTCCTCATCTGCCATTTACATTCTGGCCAGCAGCATCATCTGCACAGCACACAAGTGACTGTGCTCAAAACCCTACTAGTTTCTTTGTGCTTTGGAGAATGCAGTCCAAACCCTAAACCTGATGAGGGAAAGCCTTCCCACCCGTGTCCACAGCGATCTTTCTGGACCCTTTTTCCCCACCCCTTACCTGCTTTTCATTCCAGCCCCAGGGAACTCCTATGTCCATCCAAGACTCCTACCTTGGCTTGAGTGCAGGCATTGCTTCATCTGCTCATTAGTAAATACAGACAAGGCATCTATTGGACACCTGCTTTGTACTCCAGGCCCCCAGGATACAGCGACATTATGATGCCCTCTCTCAAAATCAATTAGGGACTACACGTATGGTAGCATTGCACAGAGGTGCATACATGCATAGGTGCACACACACACAAGTGAGGGTGTGTTTAACTGGTACAGTCCAAATACTTCTGTGAGCTGTGCTGACACCAGTTTCCTGGTGTTGAGTTGTGCCCCAGTCATGTAGGATGTCACCATTAGGAGAGGTGGGTGAGGGATGCCTAGTCCTTCCCCACACGTTTCTTTGCAAGTTCCGTGATCTCTGTTTCAAAATAGAAAGTCAGAAAATAAACCCAGCAAGGGAGGCCGTGTGACGTGGACTAATCTGGACAGATGTGGCTCTAAGTGCAGAAGCACAGAGCAGGGGGCTTTGTGTGCAGAGGCTCGGGGCACGAGAGCCTGGCACACTCTAGTGCAAGGTGGTCAGTGGGTGACCTGGGGTGAGAGTAGCAGGAGTTGATGCTGGAGCGTTGGGAGGGGTCCCGTACTGAGCATTGTCTCCAGTGACCTCTTAGAAAGTTCTTTTTGGTGGCCTGTCAGTAAAGTGGAGGGAACTGGAGACCCCATCCCCCACAATGCCAGGAGAGAACATGCACAGAGACTGCAGGGAAGGAGACAGACAGACTGATGTTTTTAGGAGGGTGAATTGATAAGACTTGGGAAAGAGTTCAAAGACAGACTCTGGAACAGTCCCCAGGTTTTTCCAGCCCGAGTAGCTGGTTGGTGGTGGCACTGCTGAAGCAGGAGGGGTGGACACTGTGGGCACTGTTGGTGTTCTCTGCACAGCCCACAGGTTTCATGGAGTGCTCGATGCTACAATAGCACTTTCTGCATCCCGAGAACTTACTTGAACTATTGAAGCAAATAGCAAAATATGAAAAGTGTAAAACTTAAAGGAAATTAAACAAATGTGATGAAATGAGGCGTGGGCCCTCAGGGCAGGCTGCCCACACCTTCCTTCTCTGTCGCCCACCAGCACCTGGCGGCTCACCTGTGGCAGCACAGCGAGGCCCTGGAGGCGCTGGAGACTGGCATCAAGGGCTCGCGGCGGCTAGAAGCCGCGTGCAGGGATTTCGAGCTGCAGAAGGTGTGCTACCTGCCGCTCAACACCTTCCTGCTGCGCCCGCTGCACCGGCTCATGCACTACAAGCAGGTCCTGGAGCGGCTGTGCAAGCACCACCCACCCAGCCACGCCGACTTCCGGGACTGCCGAGGTAAATGCCGGGGGCCACGCATGTTGGGCCGGCTGGGCATCAAGGTGCGGGGTGGGGGGGCTGGTAGAATGTCCCAGGTGTTCCTAACCTTGATCTGATGCTTTGTGTTACATCGTGACCTTCTCCAAAAGAAGGTGCTAATGATGATTATGACACTCTCCTCCGTGCCCTTGTGTACACATTTTCTCCTTTGATCGTGTGTGGTTTAGGGCAAAGTCCCCCCCCGAGAGAAGCTCCACTCATAGTGAGCCCTACTCTAGGAAGCCTCCTGCCTGCATGGTTGAAACTTATCTCTCCTCCCTTGGACCCGCCACAGAACATGGCTTGTCACGGACACCAGTGCTCATTGCTGCCGGGCGTTTGTTGATAATGTGCCAGTCACCGTAATGAGCCCTTCGCCTGTGTTAACTGTTCATCTTCACAAGCCAGAGGCGTAGGGACCTTGTTTTACATGTGGGGACTACTGACCAGAGAGGTTAAGGCCTGTTCAGAGTCACAGACTGGAAAGGATATAGAAACGAAGCCTAGAACCCGTGGTGGCGGCCGCCTTACCCCGCAGTCTCAGGGGAATATCATCCACGCTGACCTGCTCAGCCCCTGGGCCGGGTACTGTGCCGGCATCATGCCACGCACACAGCCTGACTTTTGTAACAGCTTTATTAGACTGGTAGCCTTATCCCATTTTACAAGTAAGAAAACTAATGCTCAGAGTGGGGGAAAGGACTTCTGGGTCACACTCAGAAACGGATCAGAGCTGGCCTTCCAGACCACACTTTTGCCACTGGACCATGCATCCTCTTTTAGAATGAAAGCTGTTCTGTCTTATGTTATCCGTGGTCTGTTGGTATCTCCACTGCCTGGCCAACCTGTAAATCCCTCAAGGGTCAGGGCTGCACACGGAGTAGCCCTTTGTAGGTAGCTGTTGAATAGCACAGATCTGTACATCACTAGCAGGTCAAGACCCTGATCACTGGCCTGAAGTGTAAGAAACACCTCTCAACTCTTCAGCCACCTGTGTCATCTTTTTAAAACTCCATCTCCTTACTCCTTTGCTTAAAATCTGGGTGCCACCTGACTGCCTCGCGGTAAAATCTAAATTCTTTATGATCAGGCCCATCCAGTCTTTCCTGCACCAGCTCTGCATGGAGCACCTGTGTTAGGTGACGAGGGGGAAGGGAACAGTGCAACTCACAAGCAGGAGAGAAACGCCAGCAGGGGGCATCAGATCCAGCCCTGGGCCAGGGGCTCTCCGAGGGAAAAGATGTTTAAGTTTAGTGCTAAAATTTAAGAAAGCATTTTCCTAGTTGTGGAGAATAGTTAGAGACAGCACATATAACAGGTCCAAAGGGGACAGAAACTGTGGAACATTCTAGACAGTAAAGTCAAATTCTGCGTGGCTACAATGTGGAGCAGTAAGAATGGCAAGATGAGGCTGTGGCATAGTAGGCAGCGACCAGGTCCCACAGGGTCTTATAAACACAAGGCCTTATAAGCAAAGGCAAAAGTGTTTTAAGGAGGAGAATGGTGGCACAAGGTTTGTTCTAGAAAAGTCTCTGTTAGTATCTATAATATATAAAGGACAAATTAGTTTTGATAATGACAACCTAATACATAGGAGACTTGGCAGAGTAACTAGGACACTGGCAATTCATGGAAGGAGAAGACAAATGCCTCACAGTGTGGTTTGCTATAGACCATCAGTCTTTAAAATAAACCACACTGCCTCTGGCCTCTACACGGTGGTATATTCTGTTCCTCCTGTTGGAAGCATTGCCACCTTGGTTTTCCTGGCAAAATCCTTCTCATCCTTTAAGCCTCAGCTTTTGCCAGACTCTTGAGGTTGAGCTGAAAGACCTTGCTCTTACTGTTCTGGCATTGCCAGTGGGCCATGCCTGGAGGAAATGACCCCAGACCCCTCCCAGCTCTGAGGACTTCACAGATGTATTTACTCATAGGGATAAGAAAATTTGGTTTCACACGTGCTGTCCTTGGCAGACTTGGCCAATTTCCATTCTACTGTTTTTCTAAACTAGTAGTTCTCAACCTGTGGGTCATGACCCACAGGAACTGTATTAAAGGGCCATGGCATTAGGAAGGTTGAGAACCACTGTTCTAAACAGTCTCCTGATGGAAATAGTCTATCTTTGATAATTAAATGGATAAAAGTGTTGCTTAACTTAAAACATAAGGTGACAGCACTGTAGAAAGTTTGAGGAGACAAACTTTGTGTGGGTGTAGATTTCCTGAGCTAGAGGGATACTGAACACTCAGAGTTCTTCCCAGCATGCCCTGTGCACAGTGCCAAGAGCTATTCCCAGGCCACGAGTACCTAGACCTGCTCCCAGCATGCCCTGCCCTCAGGTACCTAGACCTGCTCCCAGCATGCCCTGCCCTCAGGCACCTAGACCTGCTCCCAGCATGCCCTGCCCTCAGGCACCTAGACCTGCTCCCATCATGCCTTGTCCACAGGCACCTAGACCTGCTCCCATCATGCCTTGTCCACAGGCACCTAGACCTGCTCCCATCATGCCTTTCCCATAGGCACCTAGACCTGCTCCCCACAGGCTCTGCTCACAGGCACCTAGACCTGCTCCCAGCATGCCCTACCCATAGGCACCTAGACCTGCTCCCAGAATGCCCTGCCCACAGGTGCCTAGACCTGCTCCCAGCATGTCCTGTCTACAAGCACCAAGGAGCCAGGGTACTACCATCATTTTCCCCTGAGAGCCTCCTGACTCCCACCTTACTGAGCATTGTGTCCAGTAAATGTTTATTGGCCCAAATTGGGTGATAATGTCAGAAGTTTGAGCAACCCCTAGTTTTTCACTGTGGCTGAGACAAAGCATTCTGTGACAAGCCAGGAAGAATTTAATTTGCATCCTCAGAGAAAGCAAGAAAAACAAATTCTTCCCTTCCAAAGCTGAAATGCTGGGGGAAGGAAGAAGAAGGAGGGTACCCTGGGATGGCGGTTCCCTAAATGAGTCATAATATCAATCAGACCCTCTCTCAAAAAGATACTGACTTTGCCCCAGCTTTTTCTGCAGCTTCTTTGTGTTCACTGCGCCTTGTTCTTTCTAGATAACAGAGGGGAAAAGAAAAATCTCTACCCTGAGACAAAATTCAAGGCATGTGCATTCTCCTGTGTCTTCCCCCTCTAAGCCAGCTAGTTCTAATAAGGACAGCTGTGTACTACATAGCCATGAAGGGTGATTTATATCTTCAAGGTGCTTTAGGGAAACTAAAGGAAAGCAAATAAATACATAAAGTGAATCATTCCATTTTTATTATACAGAAATAGCAGTGTGACCCTCCAGGAGGGCTCTAACACAGGGCAGCTCCCGGAGGACACCTCCCTGCCGCATTCAGCTGGATGCTGCTGGGGACAGCCCACCGCCTGCTGCTAATGCTGCAGCCTTCATGCATCTGTTTCCTTCCCAGCCGCGCTGGCAGAGATCACTGAAATGGTGGCACAGCTCCATGGTACGATGATCAAGATGGAGAATTTCCAGAAGCTGCATGAACTCAAGAAGGATTTGATTGGCATTGACAATCTGGCGATTCCAGGCAGGGTAAGCAGAAGTGGTCTGGGTATGCCTTGGAGAGGAAGCCAGAAAGGATACATTGAAAAGACTTAAATATGAATGTTTTGAACACAGGCACTCCCAAGGTAAGATGTCCTCCTCCTATAGTGGTTTCCTTCCTCCTGAGAGGCAATCGGAAGCACAGGAGTGATCAAAGTCACTGTGTAAGGAGACAGTAAAGTATTCCTAACCTCAAACGTTCTGCATTTTTTTCTTAGGGATTGATTTGCTTATTATTTTTCACCCTACCATATTCCAGAGAAATTTTGAAATAGCTTATTTTTTAAAATCCAGATAAATGAAAATGGAAGATAAAGAAAAAAGAGAAATTGGATAAAACAGAAAATAGTGATATAAAGTCAGAGAGAAAGTTCCTGAAAGTATGCTAGAATTCCCATGCAAATGAATAAAGCCTTTGGAAACTGGAAAAAAAAAAATCCCATGCAAAAATGGTATTTTGTCTTCTGGGCTAGAGTGCTGTGGCTTCATCATAGCTCACTGCACCTTCAATTTCCTGGGCTCAAGCCATCCTCCTGCCTCAGCCTCCCAGGTAGCTGGGACTACCAGCATGCATCACCATGCCCAGCTGATTTTTAAAATGATTTTCAGAGATAAGGGTCTATTTAGGCTGGTCTCACACTCCTGGGTTCAAGTAATCCTCCTGCCTCAGCCTCCAGGGTCACTGGGGCTGCAGGCGCCTGCCTCTGTGCCCAGCTAATTTGTCTATTTTTTGTAGAGACAGAGTCTGACTATGTCTCAAACTCTTGGCCGCAAGCAGTCCTCCTGCTTCAGCCTCCCAAAGTGCTGGCATTACAAGTGTAAGCCACCATGCCCAGTCAGAAAGTATCTTTTAAAGATGTCATGTTCTGTTCATAATTTAATTTTAATTCAAAATTCAAATAACATTTTAGACAGAAAACAATTCTTAGCTATAACCTTCCCCTGTCCAGCCCTCCCCTGGACGCGGATCATTCGCAATGAGCAGGGCTTCTGTCACGTGCACTCTCCCCAGGCCCTGGCAATTTAGAAAGTGTGTAAAAGGCCTACCTTTCTCAAATTCCCTTCCGGGGAAGGAGTCATTACCAAGGAATCAAAAATACTCAGTTGCTACGTCTCAGCAGATCTATCTCTCCATGGCATCTTTACCCCTGTAGTGCCCCCATTTCAAACCCCGCATCACTGGGTCTGGGAGAGAACTGAAGGCGTGTCCATCTGCGGCTGCCCTGCCCTAACCTGCACATGAGCACATCAGGGGCCTGGCTCTTACCTGACACATAGCTGCCCTGGAAACTAAATCGCTTAATTCAGGGCACGCGAGGGAAGTGCCCTATGTGTTTGGATATTTCTGTCAGGAAGCTAACTCCACAACTGTTCAGAAACCAAGTTGTTGGAGGTCTTCAGAAGAGTTACTCGGTGAGTGCCGTGTGAAAATTAAAAGTGCAATTCGCTCCATCTCTGCTGGGGGGAAGATGCTGCCGGGCCTGGCACACACTAGCCCTGTCTCCCCATCACAAGGAACCCTTAGAAAAGCCCCAGGGGGTCAGTGTCATTTTCTCTTCACTTTGAACATTATAAAATATTTAGCACATTATGCTGTGTGGTGAACAGAGCATTTGTAAAGAGTTTATTTTGAGGAGATATTTTCCAGGCGCCAGGATGAGAGAAAGTTCTCCCAGACACATCTGCCTCTCTTGTATTCTAAAACATGGTTGCGGCTTTTTAGGAAGCAGAGTCCTTTCTTTTTTTTTTTTTTTTTAAAGTAATTCTCTGTATTTATTTTTATTTATTTTATTTTTTGAGACAGAGTCTCAAGCTGTCACCCTGGGTACAGTGCTGTGGCATCACAGCTCACAGCAACCCCCAACTCTTGGGCTTAAGCGATTCTCTTGCCTCAGCCTCCCAAGTACCTGGGACTACAGGTGCCCGCCATAACGCCCAGCTTTTTTTTTTTTGGTTGTAGTTGTCATTGTTGTTATTTGGCAGGCTGGGCTGGATTCGAACCCACTGGCTCTGGTCTGTGTGGCTGGCACCCTACCCACTTCATCTACAGATGCCGAGCCAGGAAGCAGAGTTTTAAATCATGGAGAAGTTCCTGTAGCCACAGGATTCTGATACAGCTTCTCCATCTTCCAGGGTCCCTTGTGTCACTCTGACAGCCCCTCCTTTGACAGCCAGATGGAGTCCTTATCATCTCCCTCACAGTGCAGCCTAAGGGTCACACGCTAGTCCCTCCCCTCATTAACTTGAGCCTCAGTTTCTCCACTTGTAGGTGGAAGAGCCAGGTTCCTGGGAAGGGGAGAGGCAAGGCCTGAAGACCTTCGTGCAGTGCCCGGGCAGAGCCAGTGTGCACTTATTTGAAGCTGAGTGCTGTAATTTTGCCATACACGGGCCGGGCATCAGGAAGGCAGGTCTCCGTGTGGGTGCGGGTTTGCGGGCTCTCAGTGACGCTGGTTTGTCTCCACAGGAGTTCATCCGCCTGGGCAGCCTCGGCAAGCTCTCAGGGAAGGGGCTCCAGCAGCGCATGTTTTTCCTGGTAAGTGGCTTGAGCTGCCGGTCCTCACGGTGACCTGGAGATCCATGTCACCTGGGGCAGGCAGGGTGGCTGGACTGTCCAAGTAGGGGGAGCTAGGAACGGGGTGCTGAGGCTGGACTTGCTGAGGGCAACATGTAGTAACGAAAGAACATACTCCCGGCACATGCTGGCTTCATCTCCCCTGCGCTTTTCCCGGTTCTAGTTCAACGACGTCCTGCTATACACAAGCAGGGGGCTGACGGCCTCGAATCAGTTTAAAGTCCACGGGCAGCTCCCGCTCTACGGCATGACGGTGAGTGTCCCATGAGGGCACAAGATGGGGCCTGCCCCCTGGGCGGCCTGCAGGGCAGACCTGACCTGTGCCATCCCAGGCGAGTGGCCTAGATGCAAAGCCCAATGACCTTCCAACTCTCCTGCCTTCTCACTTAAAGAATGAGCTTCTGAGGGCTCCTGTGGTGGGCCCTGGGGCCTGCTCCTCCTACACGTGGGATGCACGTGCCCTAGTCAAGCTAGGAGGAAGCTGATGTGGGCCATGTGGTGTGAACTTGCCCCTCATTGCTCTATGCCTGACCCCAGCCCTGACAGACAGTCCTCACCGCACCCGAAGTGACGACACCCACTCACTAGAGCTAGACCAGCCTTGTGCCCGCTGGAGATGGGCTAGGGGTGGGCTCCCTCCTGTAACTCCCAGGCAGCAGGTGTAGACATGGTGCTGGCTTCTGCCAACATTCTCCTGGGGCTGGGGAGAGAGGTCTGTGGGCCCTTGCTGCCTCTGGTTTTGGGGGTTTTTTTGAGTCAGAGCCCTTACCCCTATGGGGCTTCTGGTTCCTCCCAGGCCTGCTCAGCAGTGCCACTCCCCTTCACACCACTGGTCATGCCAGGCCTGCCATTCCAAGGAGGCCTGGAGACACCCGGCGTGTGACCCTGTGGTGACATTGTGAACTCTAACCCCACAGATCGTGGAGAGTGAAGATGAGTGGGGGGTGCCGCACTGCCTCACCCTGCGGGGCCAGCGGCAGTCCATCGTCGTGGCCGCCAGGTAACTGGATGACCTGCCTCTTCCCTGCCTGCCCTTTGACCTGCTACGTTCAGCATGCTAACGCTATCTCTGTCTCCAGTTCTCGGTCTGAGATGGAGAAGTGGGTCGAGGACATCCAGATGGCCATTGATCTGGCAGAGAAGAGCAGTGGCCCCACCCCCGAGTTCCTGGCCAGCAGCCCCCCAGACAACAGTGAGTGCAGCCCAGCGAGCCACAAGGAGTGGAGCATGGTCTAGTGTAGAGAGGGAGGATGTCATTGCATTTAAAACCACCTGTTGAATAGGGCGCATGTCCGTGGTCTGCATTTATACTGGAAGCTAAAAGTCAAGGATCTTCCTTTTTCTAAAACTACAGTCTTGAAAACAGTATTTGGGAGCAGGGAAGCCATCTTTTCCAGGCTAGCGTTGCCACTTGTCACACAGTGTCCATGGAGAGGACATAGTGTCCATGAGGTCATCCTTGTGGAATGAGAGAGGCTTCAGACCAAGCTCTCAGGTGTGGAAGGAGCTCCCTGGCCGGGGCTGGGGGGACACCCTTCCTTGAGTGGGGGCCTCATTAGCTTCCTGCTCAGTGGGTGCCGTGTGACCACTGCAAGTCCCCCAAGCTTCTAACACCTTCCTCAGCACCTTAATGGGTGTCAGGAGAAGTCTGCCCCTCCTGGGAGGAACAATCAGAAGTGCTACCCTTTGCCTGTGTCCTGCAGAGTCTCCTGATGAAGCCACAACGGCCGACCAGGAGTCAGAGGATGACCTGAGTGCATCCCGCACCTCTCTGGAGCGCCAGACCCCTCACCGCGGCAACACCATGGTGCACGTGTGCTGGCACCGCAACACCAGCGTCTCCATGGTGGACTTCAGCATTGCTGTGGAGGTACTGACCCAAGTGGAGCACTCACAGGCTCCCGGCCCAGGGGCCCAGTGGCCAGCTTCTGTGCCTGTCAGTGACAGCCCTACCCAGCAGGAGGCAACCAAAGCCGCCCAGGGCTCCCCCAACACCCGTGGTTACCACTGAGCAGTACTGTCCTTCCGTAAATGCAAACACTTCTCTTGGTTTTCATTAGCCCCCTGCCCCTATGAGATTTTCTTCTCCCCCATTTCCTTTCTAATCACTGAGTTAGCCTAGAAGATGGGCCCCAATGCACAACCACAGACAGCTTCACCTGCCATGGCCCTCACGTCCCGGAGCCATCCCATGGAGGAACTTAGGTTCATGGTGAAGGAGTAGAGTCAGCAAGATGGCAAGGCAGGGGCCGCCAGGGTCTGGGTTATAGCTCATGGAAGAAACTGAGGAAAAGGGGTGCAGGACTATCCTGTGAAGGGCACAAGAGGGTGGTCTCTCTCCCTTCATACGGGGCACAGCCAACATTCCTAAATCAGAAGACAATAATAGAAAAGCACACGTTCATTTAGTCATAGTCTTAACATGACACAGGGGCCTTCAGAATGAAGTCACAAAGACACAGGGAAGCTGCCCTGTATGCTGCGAGCCAGTGTGGCGTGCACAGAGCCAGTGTGGCGTGCACAGAGCGTAGGGTGTGACTGGGCAGAGCGTGCCAGCCAGTGCAGGGAGCCCGCAGGGCCTGGCCCTTCAGGTTCTTCTTGGCTTCTCCACTGTAGCTTTTCTTCCTCCCAGCATGGGGGCGACAGCCCTAGAATGGGGGTCATATGACCTACTGTCAGGCAGTAGAAAGTTAGAGTCCTATTTCTGGTTTTTGTGACTGTCTTTAGGGAGAGGGATTCTCGGGACACGGGGCGGGAGGGCAGAAGGTCAGAGATTTTGCTTTTGAGGCCTTCAGATGGGAGTATCATTCTGGGCCCGATACCTGGACGTTGGCTCGGATGACTGGTCTGTCTCAGATCCTAACTATAAAGCCTTCCGGATCTTTTCTAGACCATTCTTCAGTCCATAGCTATTGTTCAGAATGCTTTAAGCCCAGAAAATTGTCTTCCTCTCTCATAGGCAGTGGCACCTGCCCCAAGTCCATGTGAGGCTTCAGCCAGTCTCTGTGTGAGTGCCCCATTTCCTACAGAATCTCTGCCCAGGCCCTGTGCTGGGGGTCTGTCTGGACTCACCTTCTAAAACTGAAAGAGCTCTGTTGCCAAACATGCCAGGCCCAGACAGTGTCCAGTAAGGGACTTGAGCCCCAGACATTAGTCTACTGGCTCTTTGAACCAACAGTATTGGAAATGGGCCATATATCCCGGGGGATCTCAAAGTCATTCTCTTGAATTGAACTTCACAGCTCCATGGACCCACCTTTATTAGCTTCCTGCTCTACACCTAGTATTCCAGACCCACACCTGCTTCCAAAGATGTCCCCACGGGGATACATCCAAGGTGCAGGCCACACCCTTCCTGCCCAGCTGGCCTCGAATACAGGGCTCTGTCACATGGGCTCCCAGTGTGCCTGGGCTGCATCAGGTGCAGACACTCCTTCTGGGCCTCTCCTCATCTTCTGGAACCTGTTGTATACAGCGCCCTTCCTCCCTCTGTCTTCTGCCAGGCTGAGGTTTCTCCTTGGAGATGGGGACTGTCACAGTAGGAAGGGGCCCTATAAGAGGGAGCAGGGAAGAACCGATGGTCATCACGTTAGAAAAATCCCATCAGATCTGGTCTGTGTCCTGGTGAAGCTGGTGGCAGTGCAGTATTGTCAGAAAGCATGTGGGAGGTATGGCTTTTAGGACAGGGAACTGTCATAGGCTTCAGGCCTTTTTAGGGTCCTGGAGGCTCCCAGGCCATTAAAGAAGGCAGCAAATACCTACATCTGGTCCAGGCGGCCCAGAAACACTGCCTCAAGCTCAGCCTTTTAGGGTACCAAGTCCATAGGGCCAGAGGAGCACACATAGCCAGGGCAGGCCCACTGGGCCACTTCCTCACCTTGTGTACCACTCGGTCACCACCTGCCCCTGGACTAAGAACAGGCATTCCTTGTTAAGTGGCTACTACATAATACCTTGACTTTTGCCTCTTGATCCATAAGGTATAAAATACTTACCGTCCGGCCCTTTGAGTAAAGTTTGCCAACGCAGGTAGCGAGCGGGAAAGTGAGCCCCAGGCTGGTATGGTTTGACAGTGGCAGTATGCAGGTATACACTTGTGAGATCAGCTGTTCTGTCACTCTGCAAACGTCGCTGCCATGCCAGGACTCATCCCTCCAAGCTGCACTGCACCAGCCTGGTGTCCCAGGTGGTCTCCCTGATAAGCAGGCGAGCCCTGCCCCCAGGGCCTCTGCCCTCTTCCCAACAGGCCCACGCCCCAGTCTCTCTCCTTGTATGACAGCAGTGAGGAACGGGCATGTTTGGGGACAGGGGGCAGACACGCCAGCCTCACAGAAAGGGCAGCCATTGTGCAACAACCAGTGGAGGGTCTGAAAATGATGAACGTGTGGACAGGGGCAGCAGGAGGTTCTCCAATTGCCTGAATGGGGACCAGGAGGACACAGGAACAGAGGCAGAGTCAGGGATGGGAACAGTATTCATCCCCTACCGCAGCCAAACATAGTGCCACAAACTGGTAAAGCAATAGAAGTTTATCCCCAGGGTGCTGGAGGACAGCAGTCTAAACATCTCCCAGATGTCAGAGGACTTGGTCACTTCTGGAGGGTACATCCCTACCTCCCACTAGCTTCTGGTGCCTGTGGCCATCCTCGGCACCACCCCATGCCTCCATGGTCACAGAGTGTTCTCCTTTGTGCTCAAATGTCCCTTCTTATAAGGACACTGATCACGAGTTTAGGGTCCACCCTAATAGCTTCATTTTAACTTGATTACATCTGCAAAGACCCTATTTCCAAAAAAGGTCATGTTCACAGACATTTGAGAGTTTGGACCTGAGCTTATCTTTGGGGTGGCACAAATCAGCCCACAATAGGGAGTGAGGTTATGGGGCCGTGGAGAGCAGGGACTCCTTCAGTCAGGGATCTGGGAGAGGTGGCCCCAGGCACGGCCCTGAGAAAGGGAACTTCATCCGGTTCTGGGTCAAAGGCAGCAAATGGAGACAGGCAGGAGGGAACAGGGCAATATGACGGGCACAGAGAGGGAGAGGCTGGCCATCGTGGAGGCTGCTGGGACAGACACTGGATGTGCTTGCTAAGACACAGCTAGTTGAAAGGTGAGGGCAGAATCTAGCTGTTCAGTGAACCTGCCTTGGAAAATGGGCCTGCCTGTGGCTAGTCATTGCTGGCTTTGATGTGAGAGTTAGTTTATGTGTAACAGAAGAATCTTTTAGGCACTGAAAGATAGGAGGAGTTTTGGAATATAAAAACACTAAAGAAAGAGAAACATGCTCCTGTCCCCACCCCATGGCATGTGACCCTGCACTGCACAGCATCGCACGGACACCTGTTGGGAAGGGTGTCTGCAGGGTCCTTCTCCTTATACCCACAGTTCCCATCTGACTCCCCCAGCAAAGCCTGCCTGAGCAGCTGGAGGGCAGAGACGGTTCAATTTGTTTCCTCTCAGCTCAAGGCATGGAGTTCTTACGTACAAAGGTACCCGAAGGGTTGGGACAGAATAGACTCAGGTGTCTACCATAAAATGTGCCAGTTTAACTACTTTCAAGTGAATAATTCAGTGGCATTAATTACCTTTATAAGATTGGGCACCCCTACCCCCACTTCACTTCCCACCTCCTTGAGTCTTCCTCGGTGATGTCACTTTGACAAAAGGACCAGACAGGCCAGCAGTTTGTCAAGAGTATGGATGGAAGTGCCTGGTGCGCCTGCTCCTGGCCAGGCTGCTGGAGTGGTCACAAGAACGCCCCAGGACCTGCCCCGCAGTACACTGTGCCCGGCAGCAGACCTTGGGGAAGGAGTCAGCCGAGGTCTTAGTGAAGGGAGGTTGCAGGGAGGGCGAGCGCGGCTGCCCCCAGGCCCACTAGGGGGCAAGCGGGAGCTGCTCCTTGCTGTCTTAGGACCAAGTCCATAGCCTGCATGCCTCAAAGTGTTTTGGAGGCCATGCGTCCAAAATCAAGGCATCGGCAGGGCCGCACTCCCTCCGTAACCAGTAGAGTTGGGTCTGGTGTGTGCTGGCCCTTCTGGTTGTCCTTCAACATGGAGACACATCACTCCAGCTTCCACCTCTGCTGTCCAGCCAGCCTCCCTGGGTATCCCTGTATTTCTTCTCTTCAAAGTGACACCACTCCCAATGGCGTTAGGGCCCATCCACCATGACCTCATGGTCATTAATTCTACCTACTGACACTAACACGTTTTCAAATATGGCACAGTGGGTGAGGACTTCAGTGTATCTTTTGGAGGGACACAACGTAACCTGTAAGAAGTTACAAAAAGCAAGCGACATCATACACATCAGGGGAGGTCAGAGGTCATGTTCTCAAGTCACAGAAGTGTCTGAGGATCACACCCTGGCTGTGCCCCTGTTGGGGTGGGCGCCTTGCCTGTGCTTCCTATAGGCCTCTGTGTCTTTCAGAATCAGTTGTCTGGGAACCTGCTGAGGAAATTCAAAAACAGCAACGGGTGGCAGAAGCTGTGGGTGGTGTTCACAAACTTCTGCCTATTCTTCTACAAGTCACACCAGGTGAGTGCCTCGTGGGGCAGGCAACCCTCCTCTGGAAGGACTTGAGCTGACACTGCTAAGATCTTGGTGTCATGGGGTCCTGTGGGGAAGGCCACGTCCACCAGAGGCTGACATTAGCCATTTCCTAAAGGGCCACAGTGCAGCAGCTGGGCCCACCTGCCCTAGTCCCTTCTCTTACAGGCCCTTGCCCAAGGCAGGAGCTGCCGGGGCTCCCAGTGTCCCTGCTAAGGGAGGGGACCGCCTCCTGAGGCTGCCTCCAGAGCCACTGTGTTCCCCCTTCTAGGACAATCATCCCCTTGCCAGCCTGCCTCTGCTCGGGTATTCACTCACCATCCCCTCAGAATCCGAGGACATCCACAAAGACCACGTGTTCAAGCTGCACTTCAAGTCCCACGTGTACTACTTCAGGGCAGACAGCGAGTACACGTTTGAAAGGTAAGTGGGCCCTGTGTGCAGGACAGGGTCCTGCAGAAGAGCATGTTCCTCTGCCAGATGCCAACAGGTGAAGGAGGCTCTGCCTGCCATCCCCCCTCTCTGCCAACTCCTTAGGAGGGAGGTGGACCAGGGTCTCTGTGCCTGATGCCAGTGTGAGACCGTTCCCATCATAGCAGCAAGTAGGGTTGTGATGTCATGATTGCCCTGGGTGGTATGGCAGGTGGTCTTCACCCTGGAGAGTGTTACCTGATTCCACCAACACCTCTAACTTTGTGGCACCTCAGAGCAGAGGGCATCTCTGGACCCGCTCTGCCCACCTAGGCCCAAAGCTTTTCAATGGCCAACCTCCAGTTTTTCGGTCTGTGGCTTCTGTACTAACAGAGTCATAATATTCCTGATTGGACTTTGAGCCAAAATGCTGACCATACAAGGAAGGAAAACAAATCTTACTACTTCTTAGGGCCACCTTATTAGTGAAACTACTGCATGGTTTAGCGAAAACAGGGGCCCTTCATTTAGTCAAGAAATAAAAGTATAGAGCCTGGCTATTAGCAGTTTCTGGAACCACATTTCAGCAGAAAGTCTGGGTGGGCGTCTGCACATCCACAGCCCCTAAAAGACCACAGACCAGTCCTTCGTTTAGGGAGAAACTTCCCCTGGCCATGATGTTAGATAGGACAATAACCTGATACTGGACTCCATAAGGATTTCTAAATGGACAGGCCAATTATCAACTGTGCACAGTCCCTAATAAATGCCACAGAAATAGCAGAGTGACTTCAGGTTGGAATTTAAAACTCCCATGACATCCAAAAACAACAGTTCCTAAACAACACTGTTTGAAAAATGAGCCTAGGAGATAGTAATTCTCAAATGTGACCCAGGACTGGAAAACTAGATTGAGGAACTGAGTGAGATCTTCTTATCACAGACTTGCTGTGCTCAGATTCTAAAATGCCCCAAAGGCAGGAAGCTGGCCACACACCCCTGATTTCCTCCACCTCAGTGCTACTTACCTTTTGGACCAGATAATCTGGGGAGTGGCGGGGAGGGGGCCTGTCCAGCTACTATGCGATGCTCACAGCACCCCTGCCCTCCACCAATGAGATGCCACTAGCACCTCAGTTATGACAACCAAAAATGTCTCCAGACTTTACCCCAAATGTCCCTCAGGGCAGCAAGGCTCCCAGCTGAGAACCAACGGCATATTGCAAATACACATATGTATGAACAGGACAGGACGCATACCACTCTTTTTTTACAATGTCCGTGAAAAGGATGAGTCCTTTCAAACAGACTGAAAGTGCTCAAAATGGAGTGGGTGTCACCTGAGCAAGGCACCTGCATCTCGAGTACATCCAGCTCCCTAGGGCCAATGGTTCTCAAATGGTGTTCTTCAGCTAAGATGGCAGATCACAAACCAGGTGCAGTGTGTGTTTGTAGGAGATGACAGCCAGTGTCATGAGCTGTGCAAAGAATGGACAAAGACACGGCTTTGTAAAAAGTGTCCCAAAGTGATTATTTTACTTCCGTTTTCAGGTGGATGGAAGTGATCCGAAGTGCCACCAGCTCAGCCTCACGGGCCCATGTTTTGAGCCACAAAGAATCTCACGCGTATTGACAACCAGGCACATTTGTTGGTGGATCCCGCGGTGGCTGCTTTCTTCTGTATTAACGGAGCCTTGTAACATTAACACCTGTCTGAGAGACACCCTGGTCTCACTGCAGCTCTCTTCTGTCTCCATGGAAGCATTTTTAACCTTGTCCTTTCAGCTGTTAATTTCTCATCGGAACAGAACAGTGATCCCAGCTCCGGTCCCGGGTGGCATTTCATCTTATCATTCTCTTGGGGGGCTGTTCTTTAGCTTATGACAGTATTAAAACATTGTCATTAAGAGAGTGCCAAATGACATTTCTTCCTCCACACTGCACCATAAAAGCAGTACAGACACATCGTTCAACCATGAGACAGGGCAAGTGCTCTTCTTTTTCTTAAAGAAACTGTTATTTTCATCTACAGGTTGCTGCATTTAAAAAAAATTTTTTTTTCCAGTGTTTGCGGTATGTGGCAAAGTCTTAAGTAACTGAGATCATTTTCAGATTTTTTTCCCAATCTTTCTACTTTTATAATATTAAATAATAGGCAGTTCGTAGGACTCACTTCTTTGATTAATAAGCAATTTACAGCACACTACGTCCCACCTAAGGGTTTCACGCTCCAATGAAAACATTTGTTACTGACCTCCTTCTTGGCACAACTTGACCAAACCACGGAAGCGATTACTGTCCACAAACCGTAGCGGGGTGTCTTCTGCTGGAGCAGAAACACAGTGCAATATCTGGACTGTCGCTGTACTGTGAGTGGCATACACAGTGGGAAGATGCTAAGCTGTGGTGTTTTGCTGTCTGTGTCACAAGCATGAAAACCTGTATGTCATTGATCAGGGCCATTTGTGATATGTTCCGTGATAAGTGTTTTTGTGAGCATCGTGGCTGCAGCAGCACGATGAAGTAATGGTACGTAACCCCCAGTGCCCCACACCTTCCTTCAACTGTGGTTTGAAACTGCACATCCTCTAGTAGTATATATTATGCCTGTCCTCAGAAACTTCCTACTCCTGTCCCCCGGTATGGGGTCACAACAGTATGCCGCCGCACCTCCTTGACATTTGGACTACACAGGAAACACGGTTTCCAACCACTTGGGCCTACTACTCGAAAGGCATTTGCCTATTCCCTTAGTATTCGTAAGCCCTGTCTTAACAAGTCCAGAAGGTCCAGAGCAGCAGCCCACCAACACAGTTCTTCCCCAGGCCGGCCAGGACGCAGGGAGACACCCCCTCTGCAGAGTGTGACGATATACACAGAAACGGGGATTTACCAATGGACAAGTAGCTTGACACGTGTTAATCATTTGCCTTACAGTATGTACCAGATGGTTTAAAGTACTAACAAAAGGGAATAAAAATACCTCACGCCACACTCCAGCATATTGAAGTTTTAAGGCAAAACAACCAACCTTGTCTCTCGTCTTTATTTTCAGCCTGGCGGGGAGTATTGAAAGGGGGGAAACACAGGGACCTGCTCACTGAAACAGACAGGGGAGAGAACACTCTAGCACAGTGGTTCTCAACCTTCCTAATGCCGGGAGGTATTTTCCTTGTTAGAAAGGGGTCACGACCCACAGGTTGAGAACCACTGCTCTGGCAGATGGGGCAGTGTAAGTTCCTGAACGATGGGAGTGGGGCAGAGGCATAGGAAGGGCCTGTCACCCTGACACTGAGCAACCCACAGGGACAGGGCAAGGATCCAGAAATCCCCTGTCACTAAATTCTGGGTGACTTGAGCATGAAGTGGTCTCCTACCTTGGTATTTCTCAGTGATTCCAATCTGTGCCTAGCAACTCTGTGCACCCTAAGACCCTAGAGGAATATGAAGTCCACAGTATAGGCAACTTAGCCCACTCCCAGGTTTGCAGGAACACATGGGGAGTTACAGACACAACTATATACTCAAATTTTATTCTTCAAAGCAACGTTCTTGCTACAGAGTAGTAAGAATTAGCAATTTGGTTCTATTTCCCCTAACCAAACTGTATTTCCCATAGAAATTAATAGCTCAACCCAAATCCACTTCTAATAAAATATAAGTTCATTTTAGAGTTTAAAAGCTATCCTCCATTATCCAGGCAGTGTGTGTGAGCCCACAGTCCCAGATAATTGGGAGGCTGAGGCAGGAGGACTGCTTGAGCCCAAGAGTTTGAGTCCAACCCAGGCAACACAGCCAAGACCCTTTCTTTTTCTTCTTCTTTTTTTTATTGTTGGGGGTTCATTGAGAGTACAGAGAACCAAGTTACACTGATTGCATGTTAGGTGAAGTCCCTCTTAATAATTGTGTCCCAACTCCAAGAGGTGTGTCACACACTGACTCCCCACCACCCTCGCTCCTTCCATCTCTGCTCCCCCACTCATCCACCATGTACTAGGTCATCAACTGACCTCATATCAGAATTGAATACATTGGATCATTGCTTCTCCATTCTTGTGATGCTTTACTAAAAAGAATGTGTTTCTCTTAATACAGGTTAACACACAAGATATAAAGTCTCCATCTGTTTTTAGTGGCTGAATGATATACATACACCACAGCTTGTTAATCCATTCCTGGAGAGTGGGCATTCAGGTTGTTTCCACAGTTTGGCAATTGTAAACTGAGCTGCGATAAACAGTCTAGTGCAAATATCCTTATGATTTTTTTTTTCTTCTGGATAGTTGCCCAGTAAAGGGATTGCAGGATCAAATGGGAGATCTAGTTGGAGTTCTTAGGGGAGTCTCCGCACTTCCTTCCAAAAAGGTTGTATTAGTTTGCAGTCCCACCTACAGTGTAAAAGTGATCCCCTCTCTCCACATCCACACCAGCATCTGCAGCTTTGAGATTTTTGTGATGTGGGCCATTCTCATTGGGGTTAGGTGATATCTTAAGGTGGTTTTGATTTGCATTTCTCTGATAATTAGGGATGAGCATTTTTTTTCATGTTTGTTGGCCATTCATCTTTTTCAGAGAAGGTGCTATTCATCTCTCTTGCCCAGTGACACAAGGGATTGCTGGCTTTTTTTTTTAATGTTGATTATTTTGAGTTCTCTGTAGATCCAGTTATCAAGCTTTTTTGTCTGATTCATAATATGGAAAAACCTTTTCCCATTCTGATGCTTGTCTGTTTGCTTTGGTTGTTGTCTCCTTAGCTGTACAGAAGCTATTCAATTTAATTAAGTCCCATGTTTATTTCTATTGTTCCAATTTCCACTGAAGTCTTCCTCATAAAGTCTTTACCCAGTCTGATAATGTCAAGTGTTTGTTCTCCATGGTGTCTTCAAGATTTTTATTGCTTCATGTCTTAGATTTAGATCTTTTATCCATCTAAAATCCATTTTAGTGAGCGGAAAATGGTGTGGGTCCAGTTGCAGTCTTTCACATGTGGTTATCCAGTTCTCCCAGCATCATTAATTGAATAGGGATTCTTTCCTCCAGCGTATGTTCTTGTTTAGTTTATCAAAGATTAAGTGGCTGTTTTTGTACCAGTAAGTGGCTATTTTTGTACCAATACCATGCTGTTTTGATCACTATGGTCTTTTAGTACAGCCCAAAGTCTGGCAGGCTGATTCCCCTGGCTTACTAAGAATTGCCTTGGCTATATGGGGTTTTTTCTGGTTCCATACAAAAAATAAATATATATATATGTGTGTGTATATATATATATATATATATATTTTTTTTTTCCCAAATCTTGAAAGTATGATGTTGGTATTTTTAATAGGGATTGCACTGAATCTGTGGATTGCTTTGGGAAGTATAGATATTTTAACAATGCTGATTCTTCCCAGCCATAAACATGGTATGTTCTTCCGTTTATTAATATCTTCTGCTCTTTCTTTTCTTAGGGTTTCTTACTTTTGTTTATAGAGGTCCTTCACCTCTTTTGTTAGGTATAGTCCTAGGTATTTCATTTTCTTTGAAGCTACTATAAAGGGAATTGTCCTTGATTAGCTTCTCATCTTGGTTGTTATTGTCATATATAAAGGCTGCTGATTTGTGGGCATTGATTTTATATCCTGAGACATTACTGTATTTTTTGATGACTTCCAAGAGGCTTGGCGTTGAGACTTTGGGGTTATCAAAGTAAAAGATCATATCATTGGCAAAGAGCGCTAGTTTGACCTCCTCTGTTCCCATTTGTATGCCCTTTATTTCCTTCCCTCACCTGATTGTATTAGCTAAAACTTCCAGCACTACGTTGAAAAGTAGTGGTGCTCAAGGACAGCCTTATCTGGTTCCAGTTCTAAGTGGAAAAGCTTTCAGTTTTACTCCATTCAGTATATTAGCTGTGGGTTTGTCATAGATGGCTTCAAACAACTTAAATGCCTGTTTTCTTCAGAGTTCTAATTAAAAAAGGATGCTGAATTTTATCTAATGCTTTTTCTGCATCTACTGAGAGGATCATGTGGTCTCTGTTTCTGCTTCCATTGATATGGTGAATTATGTTTATGGACTTGCATGTGTTAAACCAGCTTTGCATCCTTGGGATAAAACCACTTGATTAATAAGAAGCTGCAATCTATTGGCTAGGATTTTATTGAGAATTTTTGCATCTATATTCATTAGTGAAATTGGCCTGAAATTCTTTTTAGTTAGGTCTTTTCCTGGTTTTGGTACCAGAGTGATACTTGCTTCATAGAACGTGTTGGGGAAGATTCCTTCCTTCTCAATTTCTGGAATAGTTTCTACAGTATGGGTATAAGCTCTTCTTTGAAGGTTTGATAGAATTCTGGTGTGAAGCCATCTGGACACAGGCTTTTTTTTGTTGGCAGATTTTTTATTGTCTTTGATTTTAGTGCTTGAAAAATTGGTCTGTTCAGATCTATTTCTTCTTGGTTAACTCTAGGGAGAGGATGTGATTCCAAGTGCTAATCCATTTCCTCCACATTGTCAAATTTCTGGGCAAAGAGTTTCTTGTAGTATTAAGAGATAACCGATGCCACAGAGATACCACAGGTTATTTCCCCATTATTGTCTGAGTGAGGTTACTAGAGATTTTACTTTACTGTTTGTAGTTAGTCTGGCCAAAGATTTTTTTAAAAAACCAACTTTTTGTTTTGTTAATTTTCTAAATTGTTTTTAATTTCATTAATCTCGGATTTAATTTTGGTTATTTTTTTTCTTCTGCTGGGTTTAGGATTAGATTCTTCTTTTTCCATTCCATAAGACAGTCTGTGAGTTTGCTGATGTGCTCTGTTTTTCAAATGTAGTCATCTAATGCAATAACTTTTCCTCTCGGGACTGCTTTTATTGTACCTCACAGGTTTTGATAACTTGTGTCTCCATTGTTATGTCTGAGGAATTTAACAATTCCTTCTTTTATCACTTCTTGGTATCACTCAGCATAAAATTGTTTAATTTCCACGCCTTTTTGTGGGGATGAATGTTTTTGCTAGAGCTGAGTTCCACCTTTACTGCCCTGTGGTCTGAGAAGTAAGGTATAATTTCTGTTCCTTTAATTTTGCTGAGGTTTGAGTTGTATCCTAGAATGTGATCTATTTTGTTGGAGTATGTACCATGGGCTGATGAGAATAATGTATATTCTTTTGCTTTGGGATGGTATGTTCTGTAGTATATGTTTATTAATCCCATTTGTCCTACGGTCAGGTTTAAGACCTTTGCATCTTGGTTTAGTTTCTGTTCAGAGGATATAATTCCACCAGAGGGTTGTTAAAGTCCCCAGCTATTAATGGTGTTATGGGATATCATATTGCTCAGACCCCTTAAGGTTTCATAAGTCTGGGAGCATTTAAGTTAGATGCATAAATATTGAAAATTGACGTGTCTTGTTGAATTATTCCTTTCACCAGTATAAGTGGTCATTTGTCTTTCTTAACTTTAGTTGCTTTAAATCCACTTGTATCTGAGAATAAGATTGCAGCCTCTCCTGGCTTCTGATTTCCATTTGCTTGAAATACTGTTTTTCATCCCTTAACCCTGAGTCTTGATTTGTCCTTCAAGGCTAATGTGTCTCCTGGAGACAGACTGATTGTGCTTTTTTATGCAATCAGCCAACCTGTGCCTCTTCAGTAGGGAACTCAATTCATTGACATTTATGAGGTTATAGATAAGTGTGGTAGAATTTACTCATCTTGTTATGATAAAGTCTGTTATGTACATTTATCTTTTGCCCTATTGGAGAAGCTAAGTTTTAACCCTTTAGCTTCTAGGTGTTAACTTTGGTGGTGGTCCATTATGGTGGTCAGTGTTAAGAATAGATCTAAGTATTTGCTATAGAGCTGGTCTTATTGTAGCAAATTTCCTCAGTGCCTGTATCACCACAAAAGATTTGATTCCTCTGTCAATTCTGAAGCTCAGTTTACCAGGATACAGAATTCTAGGCTGAAAATAGTTTTAAGAATGTTGAAGGTGGATGACCATGCTCTTCCAGCTTGGAAAGTTTCAGCTGAAAAGTCTGTCCTCCTAATTGCTTTGCCCTTGTAGGTCACTTGGCACTCCTAGCTGCTTGCAGAATTTTCTCCTTCATCTTGACTTTGAATAGGTTCATTACAGTATGTCTTGGAGAAACTCTGTTAAGAGTTGAAATTACATGAGGGTCGATATCCATCTGAAAGGAATATATCAAGATCTTTAGTAAAACCTGGTTTAGTTTTCTTTTATGATAGTCTCCAGTAGGGCTTCCATACCTTTGCGACAATATTTTTCCCCTTCAGGGATTCCTATTATTCACATGTTTTAACACTTCATGGAGTCTTATAGTTCTCCAAGTGTGTGTTCTTCTCTCTTTCTGCTTCTGTAACTACCTGGGTTAACTCCACTAGCTGAGTTTCTTTCTTCTCCATGATCTAACCTATTTCTGATACTTTCTACTGCATCTTTACATTCCTTGATTGCCTCCATCATTTCCTTAAGCTCCACCATATCCTTTCTATATTCTACATATCTCTCATCCGACTTTTGGTTCTGTCTTTCCATTTTCTCATCCATTCTCTTTATTGTCTGAATCATCTAAATTTTAAAATCCCTTTCTATCAAATCCATTAATTATTTAAAGCAGCAGTTCTCAACCTGCGGATTGTGACCCCTTTGGACTGTATTAAAGGTTTGTGGCATTAGGAGGGTTGAGAACCAATGATTTAAGAAGAATCTTCTGTAACAGCTGCCTTGTGGTCCCTTGGAGGAATCTGCTCTACTCTGGTTTTTCATGGTGCCTGAATTTTTCTGTTGGTTCCTTCTCATGTGTGCTTTCTTCTTGTTCACCTCCTAGTGCTCTATTTCCGTCACTCTGCCTCCTTTGCTTCAGATTAACTTGCCTCAGAATTAAGGTACATTTAGTATCTTAAAAGGGTAAAAGGGCCTCTTGGCATGAGACCAAATGGAGGAGAAGGGTAAAAAGCAAGCAGGGAGGAAAAGGGGGAAAAGAAATATAGAGGAAAAAGGAAGGAAAGAGTAAAAGAAAAGAAAAACATTGAAGAACAGGAGAGGAGGAGGAGGACAGGAAGAAATGATGAGAAGAAATGGTATCGATCAGCATGGTGCTAAGGTCACCCCTGTAACTAGAGGATTTTGAGGGGCTGGGCTGGGTGGGTTCTTCAAAATCAGGTACTCCTTACTAGCCTGAGCAGAGCCAGACTCTTCCTCTGCCAAAAATAAGAAGAGAAGAAAAAGAGCAAAAACAAAAAAAAGAAAAATTAAGTAAGGATGAAAAAGAAACAGAAATTCTGCAGTGTGAACTTGCCAGTACTTTCTTCCTAGGGCCAGAAGTAGAAAGGGCTCTTGGCCTCCTTGAGCTCGACTACTACTGTGGCCTACCTGCCAGACCACAGCTGTGTCACCCTAGCTCTCAGCAAAGAAAAGAAAAAACAAAGGAAAGAAAAAAGAAATAATAGTAAAATAATAAAGGAAATTAAAAATACTGTTTAATCAAAAGAGAGGGAATTGAAATAAAGACCAAAAAATGTAAAAAAAAAAAAAAAAAAAAAAAAAGGAGGTGTTATCTTAGCTATTGCCCACACAATTATGTGGGAGAGATGATAAAGGTAGAAGAGTCTCTATGCAAGGAGAATGTAGGAGCATGAAATAGGGAGAGAGAATGAGGCTAAAATACTATAACCAAAAAATACAGGAGCCCTTGCTCTTTATGAAGATATATGTATATATATAGTGGAAGGGTCTCATTTTAGTAGGAATATATTTATGTTGCAATATACTACCAGGACACCAGGTGGCTCTGTGGTTTTAGGGGATGGACAACACAGCTGGTAACCTCTCTTTAGTTCCCAGGCATAGACCTGTTTCCAAACTTAGTTGTCTGTGGTGATCACCTGATTATTTCCTTAGCATTCAGATTCCACTGGGTTGGAATCTTAAAGCTCTCCAGAATCCTTCAAAGGTAGGTCTAACCAGGCCCCCTGACAACAGTTCCCATGGAGTACAGGAGTTCCTGAACCTGTCAAGAGTATTCTGATCCTGGCAGTAGTCTGATACTAAAAAGGCTGTATCCCAGCAAGAGGCTTGAGGCTCACCCTCACAACCTTCCCACAATGGCCACCCTCCTGGCCTCTGAGAACTTCCCAGTATGGCTGTCACACCTGCTGCCAAAGCTCGGGCAAATCTACTCCAACCAGCATTCAAGTCTGGCTGCTGTACACTGTTCAGGTGCACCCACTCTTACAAGCTTTCCTAAAACTGTAAAAAAGGTTCTTCCCATCTCTGGACCTCCATGGTGGTGGTGGTGGGGGGGAATCCATCTGCTCCAGCTGGCTCACAAAAACTTGCCTAGTCAGATCTCCACCACTCAAGGTTCATGCACTGTATTCAATATATCACCACCTCGCTGTGGACCCAAAGCCACAGCTCCAGCCAAGATCCCCTTACAATGTATGACTTGGCTTTCCCCCTTCCCGAGTTGTACTAGGAGAGTTCAGCCAAACAACCCTTCTGGTCCGCCATCTTGCTCCACCCCCCTAAGACCCTACGTCTTACAAACAAACAAAAACTAGACATGATTAAATTACAACCATTCAGACACCCTACTCAGGTCTCTGTCCTCTCCCTGCAACTTCTAAGCCATTAGACCAGCAGACAGCTGAAATCACACCCTGAGCTCACTTCCAAAATCTTTTAGTCCTCAAGAACTGGTATACCAATAAGAGATGACAATAATTTGCATCAACAACTACAAAAGAGTGCCACACATACCTAAATCAACAGTCAAAAGAGTTGCCACAAGAATGCTTTCCCACCCACAGAAACTCAGAAATGACATCCCCCTTCCCAAGCCAGGACCCCCAGCATGCAAAGGAAAATACATGCTGGCTGGCAGACAGGCTCCTTTAGGAGAAAGAACTAAAACACCCTGAAGTCCCCAGCAAGTGGCATAGCAGTTACAGATCAGTAATGTTCAATCACATCTCAGTGGCCAATTTTACAGGATGCACAGGGAGTGGTCCTGAATGCTTAGCACTCTTGACACCTGGACATTGTTCTCTGAAGTCTTCTGAAGTGTCTAGTCTCACACACTCATACACACACACAGTGCCTACACTGTCCTCTGAAGGGTTATACTTCAAGGAGAATATACAAAGTAAGTGTGTTATAAAATTTATTCGTGTAAGCATTCAGACATTTTTAGGTGGGAAAGATGATATGCAGATTCTACAAGGTACAACAGAAAGTTGTATGGGAAAGGACGGTACATCTGGTGCAGACCAGCAGTGGCACGATTCCAAACAAATGTTAGACGAGAGCGCTTCATTGGGGAAAAACTGAAGGTAATAATTTAAAGCTTCATGAGGCAAGATATGTTCCAATTTAAAACACTAAGAAATAGTACCATTGATGAAAAAGGAAATCAACTTCTAAGTGTACCAAAAGGGTGGTAGGGCAAACAAGAGGAAAATTTGCATTTGTTGAGGTACAAATAGGAGTGTTCCCTAAGAGGGGCATTAATTATTATTAATGACAAACCCTGCAAATACAAAATAAAACCCAAATCACTGGTCACATAATTCAAAATTTACATGTAATAAAGGCAAGGCAATAGACTCAAGTTATGGCCTATCAAATATTTACTCCACTGACATTATCTACAGAAGCACTTGGCCAATTTGTACACAGTGATTTCTTATGCACGCCGAAAGGGTTTCCGTAAAAATGACACTATATACAAATCTGTACACTGATCCACCAGAGCGATTCTCCATCTCCCAGGGGGAGCTGACTACTTAAAGCAGGATACCTGAGGTTTCATGTCTGTAGATGCCTTACCGAAATCCCAAATATACATTTCAGGGTTTTTGTTTTAAAGACACTTTCCTTGAATATGTGCACTATGGTTAAAATTAAAACCAAGAATAATAAAATAAAATGATCACTCAAAGGAGCGGACCCTTTCCCACCCCATCTGAGAGACTTCATCTGGCTGTGGCACAGGAGGACCATGTGTGTCCCGGACAGGTGCCCTCGGCTGTGGGGTCGTGGCCCCTCCACTGCGCACCTCTTCAGCAGAGTCAGCAAAGGCTCTCGTTGACTTTTAAAGAGGAAGATGAAGAAGAAAAAAGAAAAAAACCAAAACCCCAAATACCGAAGGGATTTCAGTGGGATGAGGTTCCTCCACCGCTTAGAGAATATCTAGGGGAAAACAAAGAGAAACAGAAGTAAACATTATTTCTCCATCCTCCATGTACGGTTTCAAATAGATCCAATCTTCATTTTTGTAGACAATCCCCCCAAAAATAAGTGGAAGAAATAGCAATGGGGTAGTCAATCTATTGTATAAAGAACACAAATATTAAGATCACAATTCCAACACATAACTTTAGAGAACACAATAAAAAGTGAAAATGTGTTCAGTCATCCTGAAGAGACATGAATGATTACAAGTAGATGATACTCCTTTACTTGTAAATCAGGTGTTAAAAACTGAAAATCTTTAATACTAGATGAGAGTAAGATTCCAGGGATACATATACATTCCTGATATGTTCATGAAACCCTTTTAGCCATGAAATAAACAGGTAGTCCAAGTAATCCATTTCCTGGAATTATTTCAGAATACGGTCCCAAGGAGGCACAGGGTATTTGCATTAAGCTGTCTCTTAACAATTTCTCTTTTTCTTTCTTTCTTTTTTTGGAAACACAGTCTCACTGTCACCAAGGGTACAGTGAGTGCCCTGGCATCATAGCTCACAGCAACCTCAAATTCTTGGGCTAAAGTAATTCTCTTGCTTCAGCCTCCTGAGTAGTCTGGGACTATAGAAGACCACCACAACACCCAACAGGTTTTTCTATTTTTAATTGAGATGGGGTCTCTTCTGCTCAGACTGGTCTGGAACTCCTGAGCTCAGATGATCCACCCTCCTCAGCCTCCCAGACTGCTAGGATTACAGGCATGAGCCACCACATATGGCTTCTCAAGGATTTTTGTAATTATAATAATTTAGAAACAATTTTGATATCTAACAGTGGAGAAACAGTAAATTATGCAAACTAAAATTACTAGAGATTAAAAATTGTAATTACCTATATTTAAGCAACATAAAAAATATACACAAGTTAATAAGTATATACAAAATTGTCAGCTGAGTATCCCTTATCCTAAATGCGTGAGACCAAAAGTGATTCTCCTTTCCAACTTGGGAATGTGTGCATGATGCCCCAGTGAGCATTTCCTCTGAGTCTCATGTGGGTGCTCCAAGTTTTGGATTTTGGAGCATGTCAGACTAGGGATGTTCAGCCTGTAGGTGTGCTCTACTGTATTACAGTTTACATACACAATGTCTCAGTACTAAGTAATACAAAATGTCAAAAAGTCACACCTTCACTATAATCTGCAGGTAAGAACCCGAGTAAGTTCACAGCACATGTATAACAGAAACCAACACATTGAGTGACAATGATGGTGTAAACAAGTGAGACTGGCGGAATCATGGGCAATCTTGGTCCTCCCGAAATTCTTCGGTACTGTCTGGATTTAGAATACAAAAGGGAGCACCTCATGGCCAAGATTCCCTCAACCACCTCAAAACTGACCAATTCAAGGCAACTGGCTCACAACAATTTAACGGGAATCATCTCACACATTCCAATCTGGAGCTCTCTTTTAAGGCATTCAAAATACTTGGCGCTCTCCCAGAGAACAACCAGTTACGTAAGATCCTCTCAAAAGCATACTTTAGCCACAAATCCTAAGACTCGCATTTCAAGAACTATAAATGACTAATCATGGGATGAGCTGATGTCACATGGAAGAATCTAAACATTAATTCAGACTAAGAGAGAAAGGCTTCAAAAATGCTTCAGACAAAAGTCTGTTCTCATTCTTTCTGCGGTCATCCACAGAAACAACACGTTTGGGAGCAAAACTGGTAAGAAGTCCAAGGAAAGGGCACTGCGGTTTTATGTCCTATCAGTGCGAACACACAGGAAGAGCTGCAGGAGCGGCTCAGGAAGAAAAGCCCAGCCACGGCCAAGCCTGCAGGGAGGAGATAAGGACCCCACGGTTGGGTCATCTGAGGACTAAGGAGGAAGAGGGTGCACTCGTCGCCAAGGGAAGAAAGCAAGAGCAGTCGAGACAAGGAGGCAGAGGAAGGAATGTGGACTCAGCATCTCTAACCCATCACGGAAAATTAAACTCCTTGCCACAACATAGACATACTCTAGTCCATATGGTACACCCAGCCACGTGTGCCTGAGCCCCGGGATGCGCTGGGTCCAGGCTGAGATGCACTGCTAAGTGTAAAACACACAGCGGATTTCAGTGACTTAGCACAAAAAGGAATGTAAAGGACCTTCTGGGTAACTGTTTGCAATCGTTCCATGTTGAAATCATAATACTTAGAATATAGCAAGTTTAAAAATATACTGTTAAGACTAATTTCACTTGTTTCTTTTTACTTTTTAAAATATTGCTACTAGAAAATGTGAAATTCTTTGTGGGCTCTCATTCTTCCATCGGAGGTGTGGTACGTATCAACTTGCACTAACAACTAAAGGAAGAGGAACAGAGACAAGGGGCCTTGCAACCGGGAAGGCCCTGAATATGCACTGTCTGCCTATCTGTGCCCAGAGTTGCAGGGGAAACCAAGTCATCTGTATCAAAGCAATTCCTAACAATTCCAGGTGATTCTGGACAACGTGGAAAGTATCAGTTCTAAGTGACTCATAAAAGCACAAAACCAACCCCCAGGAGTTGGATTCTGCAAAGAGCTATGATCACACTGTTGCACCCATCTAGACAATAGAATAATACCCTGGGGGGGGGGGGCGCGTGAGGGGATTGAAGACAACCAAGTAAACTATTTTTATTTCCTATGCAAAACTTTAACTTATGAAGTTGAAATGTTTTTCATTAAGGGACCTGAGTTCAGGAGAATAAACCGAAGTATAAAAACAGTAGTTTTCTCTTAATGTCCCCATTTAGAGGGGCACGTCTTCCAAATGGCAAAAGGGACCCATGTACCATCAAACTTCATTTGCTATAAAGTGGAGATCTCAGAAGCCCTAGAAATGTTGCTAATATCACCAAGGCTCATTCCTCCTGAGGAAGGGGCATTAGTCTGGAAACTGGCAGTCAACTGTCAACACAAAGGCATGCCTGTCTCCCTGGTGTGTGGAGGAAAACCTGGTGCCAAATCACTCGTGGCCCAGAACAACCGGCTGGCACCAGTCCCCAACCACCATGAAACAACTGCACCTGTGCTGGGATGGCTGTCAGGAGTGGCTTCTTTTCACACAGACAATCCTGGGACAAGCTATGAGGGGGTAGAGAAGGTTCAGGTTGTCACCTCTGCATACGTCACCTGGAGCACGATGAGGCTCCCTGCAGGCTGGGGCAGACCAGCCCCTCCTGACCAGGCTTCGGGCACAACTCACTCAGCTGACCACAGGACGAGTAGGCCATGCCATCCTCAGTGCACTCACTGAACCAGAATTTATGGCACTTCTGCACACTTGACTTTAAAGTCAGAAACCAAATGGACAGTTACACACATCCAACCAAGAACCAGTCGTTCTCTGGCTGCACAATTAAGAACGTATTTTAAAGCCATCCTGTATTTCTGTGGCAAGAGCTATAGACATACAACATCTGAGTTCTCTTCTAGTCGTTTCCATTAACATTAATTCATAGAGTCCTACAATTCAGAACAGCAGTCTCCTCTAGCTTTCTGCTTCAACCTTGTGGCCTGGAAGACAACACACAGACAAGAATGGAAGCACCTATCCAATAAACTGAGTACCAGTCCTTTCCATGTGGGAAAGTCTTCCCCACTCTCAGCCCCGCAGTTACCTCTGGAGCCGCTGCACAAGCTGGGCCACCATGGTGTCGGAGATGCCGGGGCACGCCTCCTCTGCCAGGAAGATGGCCCTCCTCAGTTCTTCTATAGACCCCATGTTCCCTCCGCACGCCTGGCTCTGCTCCTTCAACTGAAAGCAGAGGAAGAACCGTGTGATGAACACAGCACAGGGACCCGGGAGCACTCACAGCTCATGGGTCACAATGCAACCCCAGCATCAGGGAGCCTGGGCAGCAGCTCCAGCTGGGCTGCTGGGTCACTTCAGATTCCTTCCAACGAGAAGTTGTTCGAATGCTCTGAGAACAGTGTGTGTAGACAGCACAAAGGTCAGACCCGAGTCATCACCTTCTAGGCCAGAACAGAGCTTTCTGTGCACTTTCCCAATCTGATTATAATGATCTGTCTTCTCTGTGTTCTTTTTCTGTCTCAACCTTACTCAATCATGGACCCGAAAAGTGATTTCAAAGCCCATTACAAATTCTCCTGGATCCAACAGGGAAGCTGCAGCATGTGCCTGCCATCAGGGCTCAGCATCTGGAATTAGTGGGTTGGTTCTTCAACTCCAGGAAACGACATCTGTGATCTAGAGTGCTGTCAAAATCGACTATTTCACATAAATAAGTGGGAACCTTAAATTCTGGGGACCCACCAGGTCCCTCCAGGCACCTCTGTTCCCTTAGGAATCACAACATGGTCTCGGGGCCCCACCTTTAGTTGAAGGTCAACTCTGGGTCTCTTTCTGGAATGTCCCCAACAGAAACTATGAAAACAGAAGCTGCCCAAGTGAAAACACAGCACAGCTCAGGATCAGCATGTCTCGGGAGAGGCTCCCGCTGGAGGCTACAGAGATGAGGAGCACCAGCTCCTCTCAGGAGGGCCCCTCCTCACTTTCGGCTTTTAAGAAATACCACATTTGGCTCTGGCTCTTCCGGTCATTCTGTGAAGACCTACTGTCATGTCCAGAGCCTTTCTTGCCCTAAAAGGTTCTCCTTTCTCTGTGTCTGAAGGGACAGACAGAGGAGGGACTGGGCAGGTCTGGTGTGATGGGAGCATCTATTCTCACATTCTTGCTTGTCACAGGAGGCAACACAGCCCAGCTCAGAGAGCCACTTGTGTTTATGGAGGACTCTCAGTCACCTCACAGCGTTCACCAAGTCCTGAGAAAACAACGTGCCCTCCACCTCTCTCCCTACCCCCCATGCCCGACACCCATGCCTAGGAGGGACAGCCCTGGGAGGTGTGCCCTGCCTTCACTGACCTTGGGCAGCACCCTGGGCAAGCAGGTAACACTAGCACCTGTCTCAGCACCCTCGTTTGTACAGCAGGGACAAGGACTCTTGTAAGTGAGCGTTTTATTTTATTTCATCTTTTTTTATCATTGAGGATTCACTGAGAGTATAGAGAACCAGGTTACACTGACTGCATTTGTTAGGTAAAGTCCCTCTTATAATTCTGTCCATTTTATTAATTATATAAAATAATGCACATTAAAACTTTGGATTCTAAGTCTTCAAATATTGGCAATATAAAAATACACAGAAAAAGACACCTGTGAGTTCACCTGTCTTCAGGTAGCTAAGCATGCCCAGACTATTACTGCACCTAGTATTAATTTGGAGTAGGTCTTGAATAACAATTTAATAGCTGCTGCATAAGCCCAATAAAATACACAACCACAAGCAAACAGGAAAATTCACACATCCCCCAACCCAGCCTGGCTGATCCCATCAAAGCAGCCATGGGCAGGATCCGAGAAGAACAACTGACAATGAGAAAACCCCAAGAGCCAAGGTCCCAAGCAAAGTGACAAAAAGCAAAATGGCGACTCACAGACTTCTCAGGGAGGGCACAGACACCCAGAGCAGTCAAAGAGCAACAGAGTGGGGCCTCCCGAGTGCCTCGCAGTTCTGTCCGAGGCCCATTACTGCTGCAGGGAGGCCTCAGGCTCCACCCGCAGCTCTCCTCTCACCTGGACCCCAATCTGCTGGCCTGGAAGCCCCTGGAAGGATGAGCCCGGGAGGGCAGCTTCTGAGGAGGGAGATGACCAAGGCTCTAGGAAGGGCTGGCCGGGCATGGCTCAGGCTCAGCCAGGGCTACCAAGCCGGGTGCAAAGAGTGCAGGCCCAAAAGAGGCCAGGGAGTGAGCTACATGCGACACAGCAGCTGTGGAAAGCCATCCAGAGGGGCCCAGCCCACTACATGAGCAGAAGGTGTCAACAGTGACACCAATGAGAATTCCCTTGACATCAGCCTGGGGCAGGAAGGGGACGAGAGAGGAGGTGCCCCCCCTCAAGAGGTTCGGGGGTCCAACCTATTTCCAAATCAGCTACTAACCAGATGAAGGCTAATTCTTCATTCTTATAAAGTCTACTCTTGAAAACATCTCAAAATACAAGACACAAACAGTCATCTGCAGGAGACAGGGAGGACAGAGGGGATGGGCACAGAGGTCTGCACTGGACGGCCTAGCCCTGGGCACTGAGAGGACTGCAGTGACCCAGGTGGCACCATGGGACACATGAGGACTCAAGGGAACCCAATGTCTTCTCAGAAATAAACAGCTACTTTTCACATAGCCATAAATTTGTCCGAGGCAGGGATTAGGCTGCAGCCATTCAGATTTGTTAGAAAGCACAGGGAAGCTGGAAGTCTCCCTGATGACACAGGGACGTCCCTCTGTGCACTGTAGGCTACAGCAGAGCAGCCGGCACCTCCCCAGGTGCCCAGGGACACCAGAGGCTGCCCTCAGAAGGCGCATCCAACACTGTGGGCTTCCAGGAAGCACGCACAGGTCCCCAGACACCTCTGCCAGCCTGTTTCAATGCCCTCCACCCACACCCAACACCTCATGGAAGTGGTGCCCCACCCACTCCTGCCCCGCCACCTCCCAAACAGCCCAGCAGGCCGCTTACCTCCGCAAACAGAGGAGAAATGATTGTAGATAAACACTGAGAGAAAGGCCTCTTTGGGATGTCTTTCATCTTAAGGGAGGGGAAAAAAAGTCATCGGAAACAGTTAACATTCTCATTGGCAATAATTCAATATACCTCAGATCTGGGCTATCGAAACATAAAGGCTGATTCTACCACTTCACCCCAAGGAAATGTTCTCTGTGCTCTAATATCCAGAAGAAGGAGGCCATCTTCCTGCTCTTGCTAGATCAAAGATTATTCTGCAGTGACATGTAACACCATGCAGCTGGGAGACCAGGGTCTGGGCCCACGTGGAAAGGGGCTATGTGTGGGCACAGCGCAGCCTGCAGTGCCACGCTGTCCACACAGACATACTTTACTCATGAAACCCTGGTGGTGGAAATCAGATCAAAGTCGGCTATTCCAGGGGCTGTCACAGGACAGAGGCCTACTTCCTACTTTTGCGACTTCTACCTGAACACTTAACACCTATCCACTTATGAAGGTAGCACTTGCAGGGTCACCAGAGGACAACCACCTCCCCTGCATGAAAGACCATGCAGAAGACCCTAATTTACAAAAGTACAGCATTTTACAAATGTAAATGGGCATGAAACCAATCAATCAAAATTAAGTTTAATATAAACACCATCAATACATTTACCCATAAGGTCCTTAAAACTCAGTCTCAAAATCCTGATACATGTGAGCAGTCCCCACTATGCAGAACAGACACAGTCCCGCAAAGAGAGCTTTAAGGTCATCACCTCACACGTGAAGCCTGACCCCACTCCCCCAGCCCAGAGCCCATCCCATGGTGGCAGCAGGGCTGAGGACAGCAGAAGAGAGCACCACCCAGTACACCAGCATTCTGGGTCTCTCGGGTCTGCGGCTTCGGATAAGCAGACAGAAGTAAATCTCCTGAGCTGCCAATCCCCTGACTGAAAAACTCCCTGACAGGCTGGCATAGGGGACACCCCTACCCCAGCTAAGCCTCATACAGAAGTGACTCCAAAATGTTGCTGACTGACAAGTGTTGGTCATTTTAGGACTAGCAAACGTACCTTATTTCTTTCTAAGTCTGATGGCTGAAGAGCTCCGTTCTCCAGATTCTTGGGATCCTTCTCTCGGATGGTAAAGATCCAGTCCCCAGAGTCGCTACCACCAGCCGCTTGGCCATCTGTTTCCCTGAACACAGAAACCCGGGCAAATGCCATCAGCTCACATGTTGGCTCTGGGGGGACTGAGACCTGCTGGGGCTCCACCTGGGGGGCCTCTGACCCTGCATTTCCAGCCTGATGCCCCACCCATTGTACCCTCATCCAGCCCTGCCTCCCACCTCCCAAAGAGAGACTGTCAAGACAGGATTCCAGTAACTTCCCACTGTCAGAGGGACCCCACCTACCCTCCTCTCCTAACATGGAAAGAAGCAGCCCTTCTGCTGGGGGACAATCTCTCCCCCTCCTGGGAGTCAACTCCCCTCCCCCAAGACTCCGCCCCACCCTAGGGCACATGTGGTCTCACCCCTGGCACCCAGACCTCAGCACATGACCAGCACTCACTGCTTCCATCTAGCACCTTCCACTCCCTCTGAAAACTACCTGCATCCCACTGGATGAGGGAGGGCCTGGTCCGCTTCAACCCTAGCAACACCTGCACCGCCCTGAACCCACTGGGCCACACCTTGTCCCTCCTTCTCGGCCTTCAGCTCTTCTCCCTCTGCATCCAGGCCAGAGCAACATTATTCCTTCTCATGGCTCCAAAGGCCTTCCACAGAGCAGTGACCTCTGAGCCTGTCCTGTCTGCATGGCTGTCTTTCCTTAATGCCACACCCAGATGCCACTTCAATGTGCATATCTCCTAGGTGTCCTGGAAGCACCTCAGATGCAAACACAGCACTTTCATCTTCTCCACTGCAAGGCCACCTGCCACCTTGCCGAAGCCGGAACGCCCCACCCGCACCCCCAAGTCCTGGCTCTCAAAACCCCTCTCCAGTCTCTTTATCTTGTCATCCCAGCTGCTACCACCCTCATTTCCCAATGGCATGACCTCCACAACTTCTGGAGTCAGCGATCTCAACCTTGGCTCTAAGACAGACCACATGGGGACCTTAAAAAACCTATTTGGTTGGGCCTCATCCCCAGAAATCCTCATTCAACTGGCCTGGAACAAAGACCTGGGCTGTGGGCCAACATCAACTCCCGCCAAGGTGTACTGGACCTCCCAACTCAGCACTTGCCTAATGGGTTCCTACTCCCTCACTACGGAGAGGTCAAGCTGCCCCATCTCTCCAGAAAGAGGAATTCCTGCTTAACTCAACACTGGTTTTCAGGAAGTAACTCCCTGGTATAGAGTTTGTACAATGCCAAGCATCTATAGGGACACTCCGGAGTCACAAAACGTGCGTTTCTAGTCACAAACGCATTTGAAGCAGTTGCAGCTGATCAGTATTGTAAGAGCAGGAAACACAATGAAGAAAAATAAAAATAACAGGCCAAGTTCTCTACACACAGACTTACTGGAAGAATCTTCCCTGGCAACATTAAGAGGCTACACAGCCCCAGGCTGTGTCTAACACAAGAATCAGCATTAACCTGGATTATCTTGAAGACAAAAAACAAAACAAAACCCCGTTGCAAACAAGAGGCAAAGCCCAGCAGGTCCTTCTCACGCAAACACACGGCACAGCTGGACGGGGCGACTCACGCATCTGAGTCTTCGGAGCTGGAGTCGTCGTGGCTCTGCTCCGCCTTCCATCTCTTATACCTGTCGATGAGCTCAGTCAGGTAGGATGTTTTCTTTGCGTTGCGCATTATAAACTTGTGCTTTAGTAACTCTTTAGCAGTGGGTCTCTAGAAAAACAGGCACATGCAAAGTAATATGAGATGAAGCTCATTCATGCTACTTGACTCCACCCCAGGCAACAGACTTCTGCCTCAAAGTGTCAAACTGCTACAGTAACCCAGTAAGACTGAGTTCTGTGTCAAAGCCTTCTTCCCTAAGACCTCTCCAAAGACTGGTCATTCAGTACCTGTGACTGGGACTCTGGGCACTGAAGGATGTGACATTTAGTTTCCAAAGGGGCCCTTAACATTCTGCAGGTTAACAGTTCAATGCAAGCAAGACAACTTTCCCCAGAAAAAAACATTAAATGGAAAATTTTGCATAGAACTTCACAGGGATCATGGTAAGAAGCTTATCCCCTAGTTTCATATAACATATGCTAGCAAAAGAGAAAATACACATTCTGTGTCACTTTGTTAACTTTCCCTACTAGTGTTTGGGGTAAATGAATACGTTATTCGGAGTTATCTAAGAGAAACGGGAAAGGAGCCAGGAGCCATCCTCAGTCTGCTGAAAGGGCACCTGGGCTCTCTTAGTCACCAGCTTTCCCATTTAGAAGGGCTGGTTTCCAGGCCTGTCCCATTCCTATGACCAAGCACAGAATTCGGCCCACACCCTGTGCTCAGTACAGCCACTGCCAAGCAGCGCACCCCAAACTTGCCAACAGCTCCACCCGAGGGTGGCAGAGCTGGTCACAGGAGCAGCTTCCAACAGCCCACACGGCCCCAACTGCACAAGCAGCAGTGACACCCCCCTCCCCCCATAGCCAGCCAGGCTAAGTTCCTACACACTCCCAACTGCTCAAACTTCACTCACCTGAGCCAGGTGTGTTTATTCGCATATTCAAACTTGTGAAAAACCTGGCCACCTTAGGTCTCCCTCTCTCCCTGTCCACATAACTGTGAAACTCTAAACTCCCCAGAGGTGCCCACATTCTCAGCTTGGCACCCTCTCTCGGTAGTATGGGGTGGGGACATGTGAGGTGGGAACAGGCTGACACCAGAAATACGTTTTTTCAAGGGAAGACATGTAGCTTCCTAGGTGCTGGTGCAACGTGCCCAAAACATCACAATATAACAAAATTCAGAGCACCGTGGGCACAAAGAATACCCTGCAGCACCACTGACGCCTGCTGCAGCCCATCGGACTCTAGCTTGCTGACCTCAGGCTGCATCCCCATCTGATTCCGGGATCATGCCAGAAAACCACAACACTGCTGGAAAACTAACCACAGTTAACAAGGGGGGGCAGGGGGCTCGGCGTGGCTTTCAGCAAACCCTACTGCAAACTCAGAAACAAAACCGGGACACATGAGCCACACACAACACCACAATCCACAGGGAGTTTTCAAAGAAACTTTCTAATTCAGAACAAAACTGAGGTCAAGCTATGTAGACCTTACTGCTATACGGCTCTGCCAGAGTCAATTAAAGAGGGAACCTAGGAAGGAAGAGGAGGGAGGCTCTTTTTTTTTTTAATCTTTTGTTTCCTAACACGTGCCATTTGGAAAACGACAACTTTTACTTTAAAAACACATTTAGGCTGGCCTTTACCATTACTAAAAAGTGTGATAATATACAGCCTAGTCCTCAAAAATATTAAAAATTTATGATTCCACATATAATATTGAGAATATTCTTCAAACTCAAGGTATGAGATGCTAGAAAATATAAAAGAAAATAGGTAGTTTTTAATCCTTAAAAGATGAAACTACAAGAAAACTACATTTGCAATTCATAGAAATCAATCATACTCATTTAGAAAAAGGAAAATAAATGACATCATGAAGACAGCTGAAAACAGTGATTAAAGAAATCCCAGCAAGTGGAGCCGCGTGTGATGAGAGACGCCCGTTCCAACCCCACGCCACTTACAAAGCTCGGCTCCTTATTCAAACAGGCCTCCACGAACTCCTTGAGGGGTTTACTATAGTTTCCTTCCAACGTTGGTGGGTTGTTCTTTGGAATGAGGAATAAAACCTTCATGGGGTGCAGCTCAGAATGAGGCGGCTCCCCTTTTGCAAGTTCTATGGCTGTTATGCCCAGGGACCAGATGTCTGCCTGCAACAACAAAAAAGAAAGGATAAGGTATTCCAATGTACCTCTTAAGTTTTAGAAAAGACAATTATTTTTAACTGATAATAAAAAAACAGAAGCCCTTGGTATTTGAATGAGTAGCAAGAAAAGAAAATTTAACACACACTGCTCTGCCTCCACCCCAGAGACGGCGGTGTGGTCGCTCCTAGGCATCTGCTATCGTGGGCATTAGGAACCCACCCTGGAACCCCGGAGCCAGGGACAGGCAACAGAGGTGAGCAGAGAGAACAAGTCAGGAGCCAGGGACACCTGCGAGTCACCTCTCCAGGGTGCTTAGAACTGAGTACGGCTTTGAGATAAGAGCAGGCACCTGGGTGTCAGATACTCGCATTTAAGTGCCAGTTATACAAAGTCTAGAGACACAAACAGCTGACCTTCAAGCCTCATTTCCCTCATGTATAAAATAAATAGGAGGTAGGGGGGACATGGTGCCCTTTAAAAAAAAAAAAAAATCTGTTTATTATGAAAATGTTTAAACACACAGAGAAGTAGAGCATACTAATATAATTGACCCACATATACCCATCTCATGAATTAAATGATTAACATTTTGCTATAGGCTCCATCAGTTTGTCGCCACGGCAAACCACAGCGGTCAGGACATTGCTCCTAAGGACTTCAGTATGCCAAAGAGAATCCTTACCACACATCAATACCTGAAATTGGTACTTTTTTAATATCACATAATAATTAAATGTTCTCTACTATTCAAAAAAAAAAAAAGTCTTCCACGGTTTGTTTATCTGAATCAGGATCCAAACAAGGCCCACAGGGTGCCCGCCATTCAGCACTGGGCTGCCTAAGGCTGTCCTAACCTAGAATGCTCAGCTCCCCTCTGTCCCCAGTGCTGTCCACTTGAAGAATTTCTTCCCGGTATCATTTAAATGTGTTTTTATAGTTCCTGCATTTCCTGTCAAATGTCGCATAGGCTAATTCAACCTAGAGGCTCAGAGTCGCTGTCAGCACGAGTCATGTAGCCTCCACACTGGGAGGCCTGGTGTCCAGCTACCTGACCCCCTTCTGCCCAGCACACAGGTGAATGAGTTCCATGAATGTGTAGCATGAATGGAACGACTAGGTGATCTTAGAGGAATTTCATAGCTACTGAGATTCTATAAGTAGCAGACACCAACCCCCAGAATGCCACAGAAGCCAAAAGACGGAGCAGGACTATGCACACCAGCCAAGGAGGGCCAGGCTCAGGGCCAGAGCAGGCCCAGGCACAATGCAACCTTTCTCACTGTGCACTACAAATCCATCATTATTCCTAGAACTTAAGTCAGAACGTAATTAAAGCATGTTTTAAATGATCACAGGACCCAGACATCTCTCAACTTTTAACAACCTACAGAGGACTCAATTCACCACGTTCCCGCAACAGAAGACCAGAAATCCCCAGAGAAGCATCCCCAGCCTAGCAGCCCATGGGAATGATGCTTACCACACTGACCATTTTCTTCTGTTCTGAGTGAAGACAGGAATACCTGTCAACAAGACCTGTTCTATACTCTTTGTACTAAATTCTTATACTAAAGGGATCAGTCTTCCTGGGAGACCTGGTACTAAAAGTAATACTGCTGGCCAGATGCAGTAGCTTGCACTTGTAATCCTAGCACTCTGGAATGCCAAGGTGGGTGGATCGTCTGAGCTCAGGAGTTTGAGACCAGCCTGAGCAAGAGCGAGACTATCTCTACCAAAAATAGAAAAATTATCTGGGCATTGTAGTAAGCACCTATAGCCCCAGCTACTCGGGAGGATCACTTGTGTCCAAGAGTTTGAGGTTGCTGTGAGCCCCACAGCCCTCTACCCAGGGCAACAGAGTAAGATTCTGTCTTACAAAAAAGAAAGAGAGAGAGAGAGAGAGAAGGGGGGGGGGGAGTAATACTCCTTCTCTCTACCATTTCGACTCCTTGCTTTATTTTACAAGTTCATTGTCTTAAGCATCAACAAAAATGTGGTTTATTCCGGAATCCCTCCCCCCCAGGAAGAGGAAGATAGGTGTAGGGGAGCAGAGGGGTGGGTGAGCACCAAAACCGGCTCACCCACCTCTCTGATCTGATCCCCTACAGCAGGAGGAGGCAAATGCCACTTCCGCAGGGCAGTGGTGCTTCACAGTCACTAGCAGGTGCTCTCAAGTGCCACATGTGTCTGCTAAGCCAGCCCTCTGGATTTCGCTACAACTACTGCTGTTTATTTGCAAAGCCTGCTGCCTCCCAGCTACACCCATCCAGGGCCTTGGTGTTTTTATGGATACATACAGAGTTGTACATAGTTACAAAATTCATGTGGTAGACACGCATATGATGTGTAATAATCAAATCTGGGTACTGAGGATATCAGTCACCTCAAACATTGATCATTTCTTTGTGTTGGGAACATTCCAAATGTTGTTTTTAGCTATTCTGAAATAACCCCAGTAAAGTATGGACACCCTAATGTGCTACTGAACACTTAGTCTTACTCCTTCTAGCTAACTGTATTTTCCAAATGGTCTCTGACGATGGTACCTCCCCACCTCCAAGACCCTTGTAACCAGTTCAACACACCCAGTCATGAGCAGGTCTGGGAGGAGAGAGGTCTCTGCCGACGGACAATTAGGTGATAGGTGATCTCACTCCAAGGCCCAAGGACAAGTAGCAGATAGGCAGCAAGCCCAAGGAGCAGGCGCCCACTTCCACGTGCTAGCACACACCAACCCACCCCAAGGAGCAGGTGCCCACTTCCACACACTAGCACAACCAACCAACTCCAAGGAGCAGGTGCCCACTTCCACACACTAGCACAACCAACCAACCCCAAGGAGCAGGTGCCCACTTCCACATGTTAGCACACACCAACCCACC